CGTGGCAACAGTAGTGAGGTTGGCCCAGGATCGGGCAGTGTTTCGTTCTGCTGTGCATAAGGTCGCTATGGGTCGGTATCGACTCGATGGCACCTAACAATAACAACAAAACCAGATGTGTCAAAAAGAGGATGGTGGAATATTGCATGTTTGAAGGAACAGTTGAGGGACCATTTTTACTGGAATGAAGTATTTACACAGAGGAAATACAGGTAGAATGGAAGGTTTGAACAAGTTAAAAAACTCAACCCAACACTACTGCCCTCAAGTTGATTCCAATCCACAGTATACCTACATGACAGAGCAAAACTGACCCATGAGGTGTCCAAGCCTGTGAGCTGGATTGAAGCAGTCTGCTATACTTTTCTACCATGGAGCAGCTGGTAGGTTCATACCACCAACCTTAACATCCAAGTGCTTAATCATTACATCACCAGAGCTTCTTTCTGAACCCATCAGAGAGCCCTATATGGAATTTGACCACAGTTATCCCAGAGGAAGTGAAAAGCCATCAAGTTATTTTTAACAGAGGACTGCAGCAGAGAATTTAGGCTGCTCACTAAAATCTATGTTCTTTTCTTGTTCCTGGACCTATAGCTAGACTAATAATTTTCAGTTTCTTTTGAGGTTAGATATAGAAGTGTAAGTTCTACCCAATGAAATATTAGTGGAAGTGACATGTGCCACTTTTAGGTGGTGGTGTTGTTAAGTGCCATGGAGTTGGTTCCGACTCATAGTGACCCTGGCAAAGGGTTTCCAAGGCTGCGAATCTTTATGGGAGCAGAAAGCTTCATCTTTCTCCCATGAAACAGCTGGTAATTTCAAACTGCCAACCCTGAGGTTGGCAGCCCAATTTGTACCCACTACTCTACCAGACCTCCTTACTTTTAGGTTTGGAGACTCTCAAAGTCCCATATTTAAAGTAGCAGGTTTTGTTAGCCTGGATCCTTAAATGGATTATTCCTTCCTCAACTCCCCATTTCCTGACCTGGAACTGTTGAGGGTAGTTACTTAAAAGACATAAACTTATATTACATTTAAGAAATGTATACTTTGGATACAATTTGTTACCACGAGTATTACCCTAATGTACAAATTAGTACCCTGAAGTGGCACTAACGATGCCATAATAAAAATCTAACTACATGGTATTAGCTTTAGCAGTCTAGGGGTAAGGGTAATTATACTGCAGGCTGAAAGGTACCAACAAAAGAAATGGCAAAGTATTTAGAAGAATGTCTCCTATAATAACCTTAGAAGAAGCCTGCCTAATGAACTTAAGGCTCTAGAAGTAGTTGAAAAAGAGTTATGGTATGTGTTTGTCTACTACTGGCTGCCTTGGTAACATACTTCAGGATAGATGAGCTCAAGCACAATGTGGTTATTTGAGAGTAGAAATAAAAATGGAGAGAGTAAAATAATGCTGTCGTAATGAAAAAACAGACTGCTTCTGAATCCCTACACAGTATGCATTAACTGAAAATATTCGAGCAAGAGATCTAATAAAAATTGGTAAACAGAGGGACTCAGCCCTACAAAAAAGATCAAAGGGAATGCAGCCTGGAACCAGAGTCTGCTTCAGATGGCTCCACACAGCTTCCACTAAGCTGAGAGAGAGATACCTAAAAAGGTAAAGCAGCAAAGAAATGAGAACATATGATGATAATGATGTGGAGACAGAACAAATACGAGCATATGGAACTGACTAGAAGCAGACAGATGAGATGCCTACCAAATGTTTAAAGGAACTGGATGGTCAAAGAAACCAAACGTTCAGACTGTCAAAGCCTGTGAATATTTCAGCTTAAAAGATCTTCTGGAACTCAGCCTTCTATAAGCAAGAAGCAGGCTTTGAAGGCTGTGTAACACACCCCCACACTCACAAGGACAGGCTTCTCAGTGCTCTACTGGACCACTAACTGCACAGTTGGTTCAAACCCACCAGAGGTGCCTCAGATGTCCTATAGAGTTTCTATGAGTCACAACCGACTCAACAATTCTTAATAGCAAGTTGATAATGGAAAGGAAAGCCCCAGAGGTTAAGGGAACAATGGACAAAGGTGTTCCTTCCAGAAAACAAAATCAGTGCCCACACAATTAACTTCCCACACAGAGGTTAGGGCTTTTTCCAATTTTTGACCACTGGGATGTCAGGATTACTGTGCTGTTTATATCTCATCTTTGAACTCTGAGTATTAGTTGAGGACACTGTTGGGATGATGTTGTTGCTGTTAAGTGCTGCTCAGTCAGTTCCTACTCATGGCGTCTCGGTACAGGGCTTCCAAGGAGCAGCTGGTGTGAACTGCAGACCATTAAGTTAACAGTCCAGTGCTTATTCACCAGTGCAACACCAGGGCTCCAGTTGAGGATGGAATACAATGAGTTTGCCTTCTTTGTTGTTAAATGCCATTGAGTCAGTTCTGACTCATAGAAGCCCTATATAGGAGTGGCTGGTGGGTTTGAACCGTCAACCTCGTGGTTAGCACTCCGGTTTATCCTACAGCACCACATCAGGACTTCAATCCTCAAATCAAGAGAGGTCACATCTAAACCCGACATATACTACTATTCATTATCTGGAGATCTTAGATCTGGGGCTGGGTGCAGTGAAAGAAAGGGACTTAGGGAAGCACTGAGGGTGTTACAGGTGGAGAGAAACAGCAAAGAGTGATGTGGTGACTAGAAGGAAGAACTGTGGCAGAGGATGTTAGTATAAATATCCATGCATGGGAGGCTTGTGGGTGGGGGGGAGCAGTGCACGTAGATATTTATAAAAGCGCACACAAATATTTAGGAACATGAGACTTAAGAGGGCAGTGTACACAGATATTTATAAAAGTGCACGAAAATATTTAGGACCACGAGACTTAGTTCTGGCCAATATGATTTACAGACAGTGATACAGGCTACTGCCAAGTTAGATGTTAAAGCCATCCCTGAGACATCCAGCTTCTTTTTCCCTAACCTGGTGATCCTGGAAGCCTTATATTCCAGAAAGCAAAGCTATTAAGACCTATACCTGTCTATAATGTCAATAAAAAAAGAAAAAAATTATTATGTTTTGTTAAGCCACTGAGATTTGGTGTTTGTTACTGTCCATCCTATGAGAACCAACGTATGTTTAAATAAGCATTCTTCAGATCCCCAAAGGGATCAGGAGTACAGAAACAGTAAACTGTAATAATAGAAACTGTAGTAACACAAGAATGAAAGCAGGGAGACTAGTAGGTACGCTATCGGTTGCCCAGGTGAAAAATGAAGAGACTTGGACAAGGGTGGTAGGTAGCACTGGCAGTGGTAAGAAGCAGAGTCAGACTGTAATCTTAAAGTAGAACCATAGTCGCAAAAAAGAAACAGAAGAACTGCTACGGAATCAATGATGTGGTCTTCTGGAGAAAGCTCTCCTCCTCTGAACAGTAATGGCAAAATAAATAAGTAATAAGCAAAAGAACAGATGAACAGTCAAATTACCCAATTGGCAAAACGAGCAAACTAAGTTTCTGTCTTGAAACTACCTTGACACACATCAACGAAACGACAGGAGAAATCCTCTAGCAGTGTTCCCAACAGGACAGATTAGTCCATTTTGAGGTTCTTCCCTCATACGCCATTCTAATGCAGTAAACAGTGAATTAGTATGACCATGTTATTGGATGAAAGCAAGAATCAACACTGAGTTTCAGTTTTGTATTTTTAAAATTGCAGACTTTAGAGGTTGATGATGGTTACATTGCCTATAACTAGAAATAGGACAAGAACATAACATATATTTTACTGTGCTAGAAATTACCTCAAAAACATCCAGCAAAAATACCAACTGACTACTGAATAATTTTTTTCTCTAAATTCAGTTTTCTTGTTGTTGCTGAGAACATACACAAGAAAACACACAGCAGTTTGATGGTTTCTGAAGCACACTTCAGTGACACTGCTTCTAGTTCCAGTTGTGCAACCATTATGCTCACCGTCTGTTTTCTGAGTGTTCCTCCATTATTTTCATAAACTCACTGCCCTCTAAGATTACTATTTAATCTTCCAATTTCTGAACCAACTCATATAGATAGATGGTTCTTTAAAAAGCTATCTGCTCAGGATACTTCCCTAAGGCCTCTGCTGCTGCTGCTACTGTGTGGAGTAGGTTCCGACTCCTAGCAACCCTGTAATAGGGTTTCTGAGGCTGTAAATCTTTACAGGAGCAACAAGCCTCATCTTTCTCCTGAGGAACAGCTGGTGGACTCCAACTACTGACTTTGCAGTTAGCAGGCCAATGCATAACCCACTATACCACCAGGGTTCCTTCTCAGACCTTTGTTGTTGTTGTTGTTGTTGTTATGTGCCGTGGATTCGGTTCTGACTCATAGCAACCCTATACAGGGTTTCTGAGGCTGTAAGACCTTTAATCTACATTAAATAGCATACTGTGAAAAAAGTTTGGCACCTTTGATTCATTTTAGAATGATTATCAAGATCATACAGTAAGTTTTTATAGTCAGGTTGGAAATGAATGTGCACATCTCTCATTTTCAACTGTAACTGTTACCTCACACTATTTTCTCCTTGTTTTCAAGCAAGAATACACAAAATGGCACTTAAATTGACAGTGGAAGAAATGAGCGTGATCATTTATGGGAGAAACAGAGAGAAAAATCAGAGTTTTAAAGACTTACTGGGAATAATCTGGGCTTCCTTTCAACGATGGCATATGGTTTTACCTGGAATAAAAGTAATGCTGCATTAGGGTTTATTCTAAAATAAAAATTAGATCATATCCCAAATTTTTAACTTAAGCCCCAAACTTTCACCAAACCCCAGACTTATCATACATCCAAGTATTAAATCAACATCTCTATTTGTCTATCAAATAGACATCTCAAACTTACCAACTCCAACATTTAACTTCCCCCTGCTCCAAACTGCTGCTCCACAGATTCCCTGTCTCAGTAAATGGCACTTCCATTGCCCTAGGTGCAAAGACCAAAAACCCTGACTCCTCAGCAGATCCTGCTGCTTCTACTTGAGATTATATTATGACTCCAACAGCTTTTTACCACTTCCATTACTACCATCCTTGTTCAAATCTCATTTTTTTCACCTGGGCAACTGCAACAGCACCTACTAGTCTCCCTGCTTCCACTCTTTTTTCATACAGCTGGCAGAGTAGGAATCCTTTAATGAGTCCTCTGTAAGTCCTCTGCTCAAAGTGCCGTGACTCTTGGAGCAAACGCCAAAGCCCTTCCTTAGCTCTAAGACCCTAAATGATCTAGCTCTGGCTACCTCTTTGATCTCCTACCACTCTTTCCCCGACTCCACTCGATAGTAGCCACAGCGGCTTCTTTGCCATTAGTCCAATTAGTCAAGTCTGCAGCCTCTGTCCTTAGTAATTCCTTTACCTGAAATGCTCTTCTCTTGGATATCTTCCCTGTTTGAGCCATATCCTCATTTCATTCATGTCCCCACTCAAATATCACCTTCTCAAAGAGATCTAACTAGATTAGTAGCTTCTGTCATTCTTTAAGGAGTACTCTGAGGGCACAAATGGTTAAATGCTCAGCTACTACCCAAAGGTTGTCAGTTCAAAGCCACCCAGAGGCACCTTGGAAAAAGACCCATTGATCCACTTCCTAAAGATCACAGGCACTGAGAACCCTATAGAGCTCAGTTCTCTGAAACAACGGAGTGAAATCAACTAGATGGCAACTGGTTTAGTTTGTTATTAATATACATAAAAAAACTATGTTGTTGTTGTTATGTGCTGTGGAGTCGTTTCCAATTCATAGCGACCCTATATAGCGTTTACAAGGAGTGCCTGGTGGATTTGAACTGGAAAATTTTTGGTTAGCAGTCGTATGTTTATCCTACAGCACCACACAAGGACTCAAAAACTATGAGCTCTTCTTTCCAGGAACACAGGGTTTTCCTTTTCAATATGTGTAACTCCCTTCTCTAACAGTGAGAACTGTGGTCCCATTATTGCTCTATGTACTTATTTGATTGTATATATTCAATCTTCGATCACTATCTCCACACCTCAGAATGAATACCCTCCTGAGCTCATTCAGGTTCTGACTTTTATTCTGAGACCTCATCACAGCCTCAACCCATCCCTACCTTCAGATGCCCTCCTCCTCTGGGTCAAGCTCCAATATCTTCTATCAGGTCACTGCCACTGTTGGACACCCCAATACTCTCCCACAACTACTAAGGATCTGATACTCCTCACTGTTGTTATTGTTGTTAAGTGCTGATGAGTCAGTTCTGACTTAGAGTGACCCTGCATAGGGTTTCCAAGGAGCAGCTGGTGGGTTTTGAACCACCAACCCTGTCGTTAGCAGTCCAATACTTAACCTTACAGAGCTACACCAGGATCCTCACTGGGTCACAAGAATGGCCTTCTCACTTTTGGGTTCTGAAGCTCCATGCTGGACAGTTACCACTATCCTTCCTTCTTTAACACCCAACAGAACAGATGTCCCCTCACCCTGCTGGGAAGTCAACACTCAGCACCAGACTACGCCACTGAGTCAGTTCCAACCCACAGTGATCCTGCAGAGAATTTCCCAGATTTATGGGAGCAGAAAGCCTCAACTGTCTCCCAGTCCAATGCGTACCAGTAACTTCCTTTAAAAAGAGTTTAAGTTCCAGTGAAGCAACTGGCTCAGCTGACTCACCCCCTTCAATATCTGTTCAAGCTTTGGCAACCCCGGATTCTAAAGCAAGCTGTGAAAATATCAGGAAGTGTGAATGAAAGAGAAATAGAATGACAAAGATAACCTTTACCTATTTTTAATTTTCTGGTACCAAATCTATGCTCAACAAAAGCAATAATTCTTTTTGCCCCTACTGAGGACCTCAAGTTTAGACTAGCATTATTAGATCAACCACATTCTTATAATTTAAACACTACTTCTAAGGAAACTTCTAAGTTGTAAACAACTAATATGAATATTAATTTCTTGAACAGCCATAGTTAATTTTCATTTTACCTTTAACATAAAAGGATTCAAAGTAGCTTAAAACCAGTTTATAAATGGTATATCATTTCTCTACAAAGGGCATATGCACGTACAAAAGAACTTTGGACATACTTAAAACATACTTACATCTACATGATATTTGATATAATAATGAATAATCCAGGCAGGTATAAGTACATGAGTAAAAGCAAAGGCACCGTGTCGGTATATCTTATGCACCTAGGGGGAAAAACACATAAAATAAATATATATACTACTTTATGTTTGTGGCCTGAAAAAAAAGTATCAACAATAATGTCATGATTATCTCCCAAATTTCTCTGTTTCCTATAGTTTATGGCTAGCTTCACCCACCTGAACAGTTTTACTAAAGGCAGGGCCTGCTAGGAGATGCCTACAGAGTCCACACTTAAGGCAAATAGGTGGCATTTTGCAAGACTACAGTATGGCGTTTACAGATACAGATACTGGTTGATTTGTGGGGTGCTGACTTCCAACCACAAGCTGTCAAAATATCAAAGAGTAATCTCAGAGATACAAAGAGGTAGGAGGGTTGAATTAAAGAGTTGGATTTTACCATTATAAACAAATATCTAACACCCTTTTCTCTGAAAATTTATAACCCTTCTGATGCACCAGACTTTGAAGCACAAGAAAGTAGATACATGTTGATTTCAATGTGAGCTCTCTTAATTCTCAGCTCTGTAACCATGGGTAAATCATTGAATTTTTATAGTTAATGCAAGGTTGTTCACCAGCTGCTCCTTAGAAACCCTATACAGGGTTGCTATGGGTTGGAACCGACTCGATGGCACACAACAACACAGTTTTATCACATTTAAAAGAGAATCAGAAATGGTTGCTATGTTATAGGAATAAATAAAGCAACATTATGTAAAACCCTCAATCAAGTGCTAGGCACATAGTAAGCACTCAACTTTTGCTTATTAGTATTATTACTATTATTATTATTATCCCATGTAACTGAATTAACCAAATAACTGAAAGCAATTCTGAGGTGTGATTCTCATCATCCATTATTGATGTGATTTAATTAAGATCTCAAGAAAATACTCCCAGACCTGAAAATTTCAGTCCCGCAATGCAGAACAAAGCCTACATCCAAGAAGTACATAGTAATCAGTCAGAAACTTACTGCTCTTGAGTGTAATTTATTAAAATATCAACAGGACACTTTTTTTTATGGCAATCATGTAAAATGGTACTTCCAACTAGGGACTACTAGTTGGCTGTAGTGTTGGTTGCTTATAACTTCAACCTTAAAAATTTGACAAGTGTCCTCCAAAACGAAAATTATAAAATTTTAACTATAAAAAATCCTTGGTAATCGTTCTGAGCGAAAACTTCTATAGCAGAAAAAGGTTAAAACGCTCAGTGTTCCGTAAGACCAAAGCATCTCTTTATCACATCTGACAGCACTAGGGCATGGCTCTCCCAAATGCCCCTGGGACACCTGACTTCTAGCCCAGGACCCTTTGAACCAAACAAAAACAAAGGCACTCATCGAGTCCATGCTGACTCACAGCGACCCTGTATGGGGTTTTACGAGACTGTAAATCTTTTCAGGAGCAGAAAGCCTCATCTTTCTCGCGTGGGGCTGCTGGTGGGTTTGAACCACTGACCTTTTGAGTTAAAAGCCCAACGCCTAACCTAAGAACCACCAAGCTTCCTACATTCGTCGAGTAGCTGTTGAATCTGATTCTCCCTCAGGGTACTAGGGGGCTTGCGGTGCTGGGTGAAGTCAGCCCCTAATGTGGCTGCAACGAGCGGGCAGGCAGGAGGTCGCAGTGGGGGGGGTTAAGGAGGAAGCGGCCAGTCACTCACCGTGTTCTTCCAGGGGGTTGGGTTCTGCAAAAACTTATTCCAGAACCCCTCCAGAACCCCTAACCTTTGCGGGGGCAGCACCGGCTCCCGAGGACTCAGCTCCTGGTCCTTCAGCCATCGCCTCCTCAGCTCCCGCAACTGCTGCAGCCGCAGTTTCTCATCTGGCGTGTACCCGGACATGTCACTGCTGGTGCCGAGGTTAAAGGATGGCTCGTCCCCGACCCCGGGGCCTATTTCACACGCGCGCTCCCGCTTCGCAAAGCGACCTTGCGAGGACGCCTGGGAACAGCGCGCAGTTATTACGTCACATCGGGTCCTGCCTCTGCGACCGCGCAGTCGGGAAACAGTGATTGGGCATGCGTAAGAGCTTCCCCATGCTCTGTGGCTCAGGTTCCGTGCCAGAGGGTGATTTGGTACTTAGTCTGTCTGATGAGTTGGTGTTGTTAAGTGCCATCCAGTTGGTTCCGACTCAAGAGTGACCCTGTATAAGCTTTCCAAAGAGCGACTGGTAGGTTTGAACCACTGACTTTGCGGTTAGCTGTCCAATGCTTATCCTACAGCGTCACACCAGGACTCCATAGAGTTCTTCCAAAGGGCTGAGTTCTGCAAGAACTTATTCCAGAGGCCTTACAGAGCTTCTGCATGGGTCAGAGGACTGGAAATTCTGCTAAGGAAGAACTGGTATGTTAAGAGCCATCCAATGACTATGACGTCCAAGTGCAAAAGTCTTGGCTTGTTTTTAACACTGTGGAATTGCTCTAGAGATTCTGGAGTCAGTTAACTTCAAGTGCAAATCCTAGCCATACCAGTAACTTAAGTGACATTGTGAAGCTTTAAAGAGTAGTTTAGTATCTACCAGGATTACTTACATGCAGTTTACCTTTGACCTAGCAATCCTTCTAGAACTAGCCCAACAATGTAGTGGTTAAAAAAAGAGAAAGTAATACACATGAGTGTTCATTGTATGACTATAATAACAAAATACTGAAAATTGCCCCTAAACCCTTCAGTAGAGAGCCGGTTGAATGAATTGTGGTATACCCATACAATGGAGTGCTAATGTTGTCAAAAACCAAAAATGTAATGTAGAACTCTACATACAACTATGGAATTCTCTCTAGAATATATTTTAAGTTTAAAAAGCTAAATACAAAAAGGTAATATTAAATATATACAATTAAGGACCCCTGTCAGTGGTTGGAGCTCACCAGCCACTTTGCAGCAGAAAAATGAATGAAGCTTTCTGCTCCCACAAAGATTTAAAAAGCCTGCCAAACACTATACAGAGTCTCTATGAGTGGGAAGCAATTTCATGGTTCCTAAGAACAACGATATATATGATGGTGGTTGTGGTTATGTACCGTGGAGTCATTTCCCACTCATGGCACACTGTCTATGGTTTCCAAGGCTGTAAATCTTTGCAGAAGCAGAAAGTCTCATCTTTATAATGCGGGAGGATGGTAGATTGGAACTGTTGACCTTGCAATTCAAATTCTGTTGTCTTTTAATTAAAAATTTCCAGGAACATTTTGAAACCTTTCATATGTGTGTGTGTATATGTATGTGCATGCAAAAGTTGGACAGTGAATAAGGAAGACCATAGAATAATTGATTCTTTTGAGTTATGGTGTTGGAGGAGAATATTGGAAAGTGCCTTGGGCTGCAAAAAGAACAAACACATCTGTGTTGGAAGATGTGCAGCCAGAGTGCTCCTTGGAGGCCAGATGGCCAAACTTCATCTCATACTTCGGACATACTGTCAGGAGGGCCTAGTTGCTGGAGAAGGATATCATGTTTGGTAAGGTGGAGGGTCAGAGAAAAAGAGGAAGACCCCCAATGAGTTGGATTGGCCAAGTGGCAGCATCGATGGACTCAAGCGTGGCAACAGTAGTGAGGTTGGTCCAGGATTGGGCAGTGTTTCGTTCTGCTGTGCATAGGGTTGCTATGAGTCGGTACTGACTCGATGGCACCTAACAACAACAACAAAGGGATTATTGTTCATATTTATATGTGGTGATAATTGTGTTTGTATTTAAAGGGGAGAAATCTTTTTAGAAATACGTTTTTAAATATTTATAGATGAAAGGATAGGAGGCTGGGAATTTACTTATAAACAATTGAGAAAGGTAGAGGAAGCAGAGGACCATAGAAAAAATAAGATTAGTGAGGAGTTGGTAATTTGTACTTGGGAGTGTGTTACTCTCATCTCCCATAGAGTCCTAGTATAGGTTTCCAAGGCTGTAAATCTTTTCAGGAGCAGAAAGCCTCGTCTTTCTTCAGGGATGGGACTAGTAAATTTGAACTGCTGACTTTGCGGTTAGCAGCCCAGCTTCTAATTCACTAGGCTACCAGGGGTCCTTGCCATATGGTAGGTACTCAAAGTTTATGCAAAGATGGAGGGACTAGTGAAAAGTAGCAAGGCATACAACCGCAGCCACCACCACCACCATGTGTCAGGCATTGTGTTTAGGGATAGAGAATTAAATGAGGCATAGGCCCTGCCCCTAGGGAATTCACAGTTTCGTGTAGGAGTCAGACGAATAACATATATTTGCAATATTAGGGTTATGTGTCTTCAAGTTGGTTCTGACTCACAGTGACCCTGTCTGTATAGGGTTTCCCAGGAGCAGCTGGTGGGTTTTGAACCGTCAACCATGCAGGTAGCAGTCCAGTGCTTATCCTACAGTGCCACACCAGGACTCCAATATTTGTACTCACAGGAGATAATAGAAGCATATATGTTATTGCACAAGGAAGGAGTGGTCAGCTACTTTGGTGAGGCTTCAGGGGAGGCTTCAGAGTAGGGTGGCAGTAGGATTGATCTTGAAGGATGAGACATTTTGGATGTCACATGAGACACTTCAGGCGAAAGGGTGCTTAGGCAAGAAACACAGACAAATGCTTTTATTTATTTGTTTTTACTTTTTATCGTGAACTGAGTTAAGGTTCACAGATAAGATCATCAGTTTTACGTTCAACAAATCATACCCTTTATTTCATCTCTATGACTGCAGTCTCCTCCATGCAACAACAGTTGTCCTGCTTCTTCCCTGTGGTTACCCCCGTACAAATAGCCTCTTCCAAACTCTTATATATTTGCGGGATATATATATATATATATATACATACATACACATATACATATATATACCACTCTTCCTCCCGTACCCATTCAGCCTGTGTCTGTCCATATATCTACACACAGAGCATTATCGTTCCTAGGTTGTGTAATAATCACTATTTGCCTCTATTCCCTGTAGCTCATGCATACCTCCCTGTCTTAACCTATCTTCATCATTCTTCTGCCTCCCTCCTCTTCTTGTATGTTGCCCCTCCTCCTTCTTATATATTGTCCTCCCTGTTACTGTAGTTACCATGTGTCTACCCTCTAGCCAGTGAACTACTCTCCCTTCCCTCCCACCCCTAATAACCATCAAAGGATATTTTAATATGAAAACATTTTCTTGCATTTTCACAATAGTGGTCTCATGTAATATTTGTCCTTCTATGACTGATTAACTTCACTCTGCATAATATCCTCGATGTTCATCCATGTTGTGAGGGGTTTAGCATTCATCGTTATTCTTCAACATTCGAGTCCATTGTGTGTATTACCAAAGTTTGTTTATTCCCCCATTGATGGGAACTTAAGTTGTCTCCATTTTTTTGCCGTTGTGAATAGTGCTGTGATGAACATCTGTGTGCATATATCTACCTATGTCCTGGCTCGTATTTCTTGTGGTTATATACCAAGTAGAGGGCTTGCTGGGTCATACGATATTTCTGTTTACAACTTTCTGAGGAAGTGCCATACCATTTTCCACAGTGGTTGAACCATTGTACAGTCTTAACAGCAATGTGGGAGGGTCCCAGTCTCTTCACATCCTCTCCAGCATTTGTTGTTTTCTGTTTTTTGAACGTTGTTACTAATGCTAGTGTGAGATGATATCTCTTTGTTGTTTTGATAAGCATCTCTTTAATGGCTAATGATCATGGACAGTTCTTCATGTTTGTTGGCTGCCTGAATGTCTTCTTTGGTGAAGTGTCTATTCATATCTTCTGCCCCATTTTTGATAGGGTTGTTTGCTTTTTTCTTGGAACAATTGGTGAGCTTGAACCACTGACCTTGTGATTCAAAGCGACCTTGCAGTCCAGTGCACTAACCCACAGCACCACACCAGGACTCTGTAGAGGTGTCATAGTTTTCTATAAATTTTAGAGATGAGTCCCTTCCTTATCTGATATGTCATTGCAAAAAAAAAAAAAATTCCAGTCTGTTGGCTCTCTTTTTACTCTTTATGGCAAAATCTTTTGATGCACAAATCATCTATTTTGTCTTCCAATGATTTTACTTTTAGAATAATTTTTCATAGTATATTTATGCAATGTATTAGAAACCCTAAGTTTGTCCCTGTTTTTTCATTGTTGATCTTTATAGTTCTAGGTTTTACAGTTAGGTCTTTAATTCACATTGAGTTTGTTTTTGTATATGGTGTTTTTGAGTTTATCCTTTTGCAAATGGATTTCCGGGTTTGCCAACAACATTTGTTGAAGAGATGATCTCTTTCCCATTTAATACTTTGGCCCTTTGTCAAAGAATCTTGATTGGGATTGCACTTTATCTATAAAATCTATAACATTTTCACAGTGTTAAGCCTTCCCATCCATGAGTATAGTATATCCTTACATTTTTGTAATATCTTCTTTTAGGGCTTCTTGTTGTAGTAGTGCTTTGTAGTTTTCTTTGTATAGGTCTTTTGTTTCTCTGGTTAGATTTATTCCTAAATAGTTCTCCTTTTTGGCAGCTATTGTAAATGGTTTTTTATTTTTTTTCCTTTACAGCGCTATCCTTATTAGTGTCTAGGAATCCAACTGATTTTTATATATTGATCTTGTACCCTGCTACTTTCAATTAGCTGAATCTTTCAATGCGTTCCAATAATTTTCTTGCCCAGTCTTTGAGATTTTCTGTGTATCAGATCATATTATCTTCAAATAGAGAGAGTCTTACTTCTTTGCTAATTTGGATACTTTTGATTTCCCTTTCTTGCCTTATATCTCTGGCTAAGACTTCCAACACAAAACTGAATAGGAATAGTGATAAAGAGCATCCTTGTCTGGTCACTGTTCACAAAGGAATGCTTTCAGTTTCTCTTCATTGAGGGTGATGTTAGCTGTTG